GACACGATCGTGACCAGGGTGGAAGAACCCTGATCGTGACATATCACTTTTAGAAATCCTACTACTTAGTAAGTAATAGGTGGATATCTTTTTTTTCTTTTAATTTTTTCCACAACTTTCCTAGAATATAATGTAAAACAACTTCGGGCCAATGCGGATTTCCAATATTGGTTATATAATTTCAATCAACTTCGGGACAATGTTGGGTTTCAATATTGGACCACGCTAGAAAAAATCTGACGAAAGGTATATTGGATGAATATTATTACGAATATTGTGCCAATATCTTTGTGCTACTGGGGATTATACATCCTGTCGCAAAACGTAAAAATCTGTTAACACCCAATAATTGATATTGATATCAATTATTGGGTGTTAACAGATTTTTACGTTTTGCGACAGGATGTATAATCCCCAGTAGCTGATCAGCATGGTATAAAAACATGTTATACATAATTCTGTACAAAATGTTTTTATACCATGCTGACATCAATTATTGGGTTAACGTTAACGTTTAAATTAGGTACGTACTGTAACGTTACAGTTATGTTTCAATTTTATAACAGCAATGTAACATTGTAATCTATTAAAAGTTACATAACAAAAACTTAAAAATAATAACCCAGAGGCCGACACCTTTTTTTGTAAGAGATTCAAAATATTGTTTATATATTTTTTATATGAGTCATTCCATATAAAATCAACAAATGGGGTGTGCCGCATGATTTTTAATTGGAAAAAAAAATTGAGGATAATCCTTGATGTACCAGAAATGCTAAACCACCATTATTTATTTTTTGTATCGTATAACTTCTAGTCAGTACCCGTCAATTTAATACTTGTACATAATGGGCTCTAGCTTTTTCTTAAGAATAGGTATTAAAATGATCTATGCTTTGTTTTATAGGGTTGTAAATGTGCATTTCATATTACAAAATAAAACTAAACTGGAACAACCCAGTAAGCACCAAACACTCGGCAAACAGTCGGCCTTCGCTCGACATAGGCGGTTGACCGGCGGTTCGGCTTGCCCCAGTCGTCCCGCTTATGGCCCGCGTTATGTTAGCCCGGTACCGTTTGGCTATGAAGGCCAGAATACGGCATGCCGCTGCAAATTCGTTTTTTTAAATTGGACCCTGTGTCAACACACTTGCACATTAAGAATAGATTTTTTTTAGAATTAAAGTATTAACCCTCTTGATGCCATTACATAATTATCATTGTTCTAGAATTATATCTTCTAAGAAAAAATAATTGTGAAAATTGATCATTTTTAAAAATATTTAACTTTGACCCACAAAAAAACCGAAGTGGAGGAAAAATGTGATATTTTCTGAAAATAAATTCTATATCTTCGTTAATTATGTATAATTATAATAATTATCCTAAATCTACCTTAATACTAACTTATATCTAAAATGGAGTAGATCCCATTGGCTGGCGGCGGGCCGCCGGCCCAGACACCGAGGCACGCAGCGGCACGAAGTGACGCCTCGGTCCCCGGTGCCAATGCCGACGGACCGCCACCAAGCCATGGGGTAGAACAGGCCAGGAAGCACGCGAGGTGGACTGACCTGCCGACAGCGGCCCAAACACCCTGCGCAGACGCCAGCGCACAGGCGTCGTTGTCTCTGTCGGCAGTCCAGCGCACGGCAAAGAAGTCGAGGCGAAAATGGCAGTTTAACCTCTTGCTTAGGAGGGTGGTGGCAGTTTAGACTCTTGCCCCGGAGAAGTAAGCCAGATGTTATAGGTAGATCAATAATGGGTAGCCAACTAACCCGTAGGGTCAGCCCGTATTTAACCTCGATGCACTGGAAGTGCGTCGCACTCGGAGAAGGGTGTCAGGAGGTCGGTGTTGCCGGTGTCCAGTAGCTCCATGAAGATTCGATCCAGCGGAGGCGGCCACTCAGACAGCTTACCAGCAAGATCTATCCTGGAGCGGTCGTATGAGGGACAGTAGTATATGCGGTGTGGCGGGTCGTCAATTGTGTCGCATGTAGGACAGTTGGGGCTGTCAATACTTCCACGCATATGGAAGTGACGCCGGAATCTTCCATGGCCAGTAAGGACAGAAGACAGAGGCCTTGTGTGTGGTATGTTTTGAGTCTGTCTGATCGCCAGTGAAGGGATGAATGAATGTGTTAAGCGGCCTTTGGGATGTGTCCCACGTTGTCTGCCAAGCGTCCAAACTAGCCTGGTCGAGAATAATTTTAGCTTCCCTCAAGCTGGGATATTCATTTTGATCCATCCAATTTATGTCCAGATGGTGGACTGGATTCCTTTCCCTTATGTCTGATAAGGCCATTCTTGCAGAGAGATCTAGGCCAATGGGCTTGATGTTGGCCAGGACGCCCGCAGCTTCCGCCGAGACGTCGCTGTAGCAGCCGGTGATCGTGCGGGCGCATAAGGCTCTGCAAGAATTCAGGATTCTGTCAGCTCTTTGGTAGTGACACTTGTCTTTCCAAAAATTAAATGAATATCCCACTATTGGGACGACCGCCATGTTGTATATGGAAGTGAGGCCATCCGAGGGAGGCACCCATGCTTTCGCCAAATGCCTACGCAAGTTTGCGAATAGGCCCTTGGCTTTGAGGCTGACGAGTTTTATGTGCTCTTGAAAATTGAGGTGCGAGTCAAGAGTGACCCCTAGATATTTGGCCGATGTTAGTCCTCGGATGGGACTTCCGTTGATCCGGATTGTAGGCCTCCTGACACATTTGCCGCTGAACACTACGTAGTTAAATTTGTCTATGGATAAGTTAAGCTTATTGTCTTCCAGCCACGAGCTGACCCTCGAAAGGGCGTAGTTGGTGTATTCTTCGGTCAGTGCACGGTTGCCTGCGCTAACAGATATGGCAATGTCATCTGCATAAGCGTATGTTTTGGTGTTCTCACCCAATGGGATGCGAAGAAGACAATCGAGGGCGGCGTTCCACAACAGTGGCCCCAGGACGGAGCCCTGGGGGCAGCCTCTGGTCAGGGTTTTTGAAACCCTAGCAGGGCCCAGCTCGAAGCTGGTGACGCGGTTGTTTAGGTAGCTTTTGATTAAATTCATAGTATCAAAGGATATTCCTTTGTTGGTCAGCGATTGAATGACCGTGGGCCACCACAAGTTGTCGAACGCCCCCTTGATGTCTAGGAAGCAAGTTAATTTAAACTTGTCTGATTTCAGATGATCAGTGAGATCCGTAATAGCGTCGATTGCTGAGCGGCCCTCCCTAAAGCCGTACTGATTGACATGATGGAAGGATGATTCCTGTAGCTCGGCAAATAAATTCCTTTTAACAATTCTCTCCAGCAGCTTGCCCAGCACCGGCAGTAGGGTGATGGGCCTAGTACCCTTGAGTGGGTTCGACGGAGCCTCCTTTAGGAATAAGAGTCAGTTTACCTATTTTCCAGGTCTTGGGAAAGTAGCCGAACCTGATACAGTCGTTAAAAAGTCTACTTGTGTAGTTCGCAATAGCGGGTCCCACCACTCGAAGAACGACAGGATACACACCATCGGGGCCAGGAGCCTTTTTGATGTTGACGTGAGTAAGAAATTCTAGAGTTTCGTCTTCGGTTACGTACAGAGGTTCAGTAACCGGAATGGAGCCAGAAAGGAGATCCTCAACCACGTAGCTGCTCCATGAAGTGGAGCGAGCCTTGTTGATGAGTGCTTTGAAATCTTCAACAGTGTTACGGTAGATTATTCTGAGCGCGCCCTTAAGGGGCTCGACCGCTCTTTGGAAGGCTTTACGTTGTTTATTGATTCTGGCCCTTAGTACGTCCAGCCTGTCGTTCCACCAAATGGGTTTATTGGTAAAGCGTTTATGCTTTTTAAGGAATCTGTCGCCAATGGAGGCGAGCAGAGATGTTAAATGATTGACCCTTTCATCAATAGCCAGCGTACCTGGGGACCAAGCACGAGACTCGAGGGCATCTATCCCACGTATAGCCAGGTCTATCGCCGAGTTAGCCTCCAGCTCACTCAAGGATCTCGTCCATGTGAAAGCATTGTGTAGTGCTGGGCCAGGGACCTTGATCGTGAGGGATATAGCCCTGTGATCACTTGAAGGTGTCCGCGGAGACCACCCAGCGTGATATAAGGTTCAGCAAGGCGACAGAACACAGAGTTATGTCTATGTTGCTCTCCCCCAAAGGGGAGCTATACGTTGTAAGGTCAGATGGAGAGTTTAAGACGTGTAGGTTATTCTCGAGAGCAAAATTTTCCACAATGTCGCCACGGTGATCCAGCTGGTCCGAGAACCAGACCGGATTCTTGGCGTTTGCATCCATGCCGATCAGTACCGGAAGATCTAGGTCACTTATGCTGTTCGAGACCAGCTCCATCTGTTCGCAGAGCTCCCCCCTAGGGGGGCAGTAGATGCTAAGTAGGGCAAAGGACAGACCGCCACACTCAAGTATGGCAGAGACCACGGTGTCTGTGCTGATGCATGCAGTCGGAAGTACGTGTACAAGCGGGTTAAGTACCACCACGCACGACCTGAAGGCGTCTCCAGAGGCGGAGATTACCCTGAAGTGGCCAATGTTAGGGATCACGAATTTGTTGGAAATTCTTGAGTATGTGCAATATGGCTCCTGTACAAGAACCACATCTTTATCCTTGATGTAAGGAGAGTTAAAAAAGGATTGAGTTGCCGTTATCGAGTGGTGAGGGTTTATGTGGCAGATGTTTAATGACTTAATTCTGAGGCCCGTAGTCGGTGTCCTCAATCAATGCCTTCACTCTCCTCGCATAGGATGCACACTTCTCAGAGCCTGGTACATGGTTAAGCTCACTTAGTCCCCTAACATTAGAGCAAGAGGCACACTTCAGTTTTGCTGGGACGTCTTTGTCCGGGCAATCCTTCACATCGTGCAACCCGGCACAGTGGCCGCACTTGGTCGCCTCCGCCTGGCACTTGGCCGATGTATGACCGAACTTGAAGCACTTGTGACAGATGGTTACCCTGGTTCTGTCCCCCACCCTACAATTTTGCCAGCCTATGCCTAGATACCTCAGAGATAGCAGGGTAAGCCTGAGGGCAGGGGTGACCTCCACGGCCCAGTGCACAAGTTTCTCGCCTCTCGGGCCAAACTTATGCACCGGGTTTATGTCCTCTGCATTAGATGTGTCGACGTTGTTTTGGTCTATAATTGCTTTCGCCAGGTTTTCCTTCGTTAAGAACGAGGGAACATCAAAGATGGACAGTCTCGGGAGTCTCTTCTTTGGTGAGGATGCCTTGAGCTTTAGGGAGACCCACTCAGGAAGATCTAAAAGCTTATTTACGTTTGAATCGTGAGATTCAATCACGACTCCCTTATTTCTTGCATAGTAGACTTTTGACGGCGCAAAGCCTATGGTAGCAGGGTTGATTTTGGCAAGAACGCTTTCCTTGACAGCCTCGGAAGACTCAAATTCCTCGGGGTTGACAGGAGATATTTCTACCTTGTGAATAGCCTTAGTGGAAGCAGATTTCTTGCCAACTATCTTGACCCTGGAAGTGCTCGAAGCGACGTTAGCGTATGTCGCCGCAGAAGTTGCGGCTGGAGTGGGTGGCTCGGAAGTCAATTTGGCCGACAACTTAGAAATTTTCTTTACTGTAGAGTTTAAGGCCTTGAAGAGAGTTTGAGTGCTCTCGACGGCCTTAACAGATTTGTTTAGGTTGGAACTGTCAGTTTTTAGCTGGGTGAATATGGCGGCAATAGTGCGGAGGAGGTCCTCTTTCTTGGCCTTTTTGGCACCGCCAGTGTTTAGGTATTTAATACCCTCATCGACGGTTTCAGTTATTTTATTAGTGAAGATCCTTTGCAACTGAATCAAGGAGTCCGACACAGATTTAGCAGCGTCTTCGACCCCTGCCGGCTCCGGGGGAGCGACAGGCGCGTCTTGGTCGTCGACGCTTTTGGCGACTTGTGATCCAGTGGTCGAGGCAGATGAGCCAGAACCATCTGAACCAGTGGATGAGTCTAGTATTGAAGAAGTATTGGGGCTCTTTGGCTTTCCGCTCATGGCTGGAAAAAATCAAAGAACGCGCCAACAAGGAGGGGGGAGATGAGCTTAGGCGCAGAAGCCTTGGTGTTAATACAGGGGGGTACCAACCCTCTGCTGTGTCTTTTAGCCGTTAACTGGTAACCTGAGAGTGTGAGGACTCAGGTACTTATACGTGTGCCTTGTCACACGATTAGGCCTAAGGCCTTACTGCCAGTACGTTCGTGGCCCGCTAGTAGCCCGCGAGGAGGGGGACACTTCACTTTAACCAGAAAATAGAGCACTATAGAATTCAGAATAAGTCTACTGTGATCTACTAGCAATAATCGCACCTCGGATTTACCTCATTGATTACGATAATGCTCCTGCGTAAAGCTATTAAAAGATGATAAATATATAGACAAGGCAGTGGTAATATTTGATGCGCTTTAAAATATTCTTTGCATGATACACTTCTGCTTATTTTTAACATTGCTCGCATAGCACGTTTTTGAGCTATAAAAACTGACTCAAATCCAACACTGGATCCCCAAAATATTATGCCATAACTTAAAACAGACTGAACATAAGAAAAGTAAAATGTTTTTAGACTTTGTACGGTGACGTGGTTACCTAGATATCTTAATAGATAACTAGCAGAGTTTACTTTTGATATGACAGTTTTAATTTGAAAGTCCCAACACATTGTCGAGTCTATTTGTAGCCCAATAAACTTAACCACTTCATTATTTACAACTGTCGTTCCATTAACTCGCACGAGAAGACTCCGCAATTTGACATTAAAATTTGTTTTGAAAGACCACAAGTTGGGTTTTTGTTGTATTAAGCAACAGACCATTTTTCTTGCACCATTGAGACATTACACTTATTATATTTTCGGTGTATTTTGATAGATTGGGAATAGTCCTAGCCACAGCAACACAAGAAGTGTCATCCGCAAATTGACAAAGGCCCTGAAGTTTGACTGACAGATCATTAACATAAATTAAAAACAAGGTTGGTCCTAGTACTGATCCTTGAGGTATGCCTAGTTTAATTGGCAGTTTTTCATTATTTTGTTCAGAATCTAAGCTAACAACCTGAAATCTGTTTGAAAGATAAGATCTTATAAGATTAAGTGATATGCCATGAAAACCATAGCTCTTAATTTTGTTTAACAGAATTTCATGATGGAGGCTGTCAAAGGCCCTTGACAAGTCAAAGTAGAATATGCGACCATACATTTATTCTCTTTATTCGACAAGATCGATGGGTTGGTGTAAACGATAATAAAATTAAGGTAAGTTTGAATAAATAAGGTTTATTAAAGTCTTTTTATATTTAAAAGCACATTTTAATTTCAAATGTCAAACTGACAATTCGTTAAATCCTAAAATTCATTATATTTTCGCACTAAATATAACTCATTGTATGATTAATTATAATTCCCGTCCGCAGGACGAGTGAAATGTGCTGCTTCGGTTTCAATGAGTAAATATCATCGATAATTATTGTCCTGCGGACTCGTGAAATCTGCAGCTCGGTTTCAATTCGAAAATATCATCGATGATTATGATTATAATCATACCACTTGTTATATTATGGGTGACAATACAATTCATTATAATTAGAACCAATAAAATGCCAGTATTCCATAGTTACGCATTTTATCACAGCGACAATATTTTTTATCAACTTGATTACACGTTGATCGATGATAATCATACCACTTGTTATATTATGGGTGACAATACAATTCATTATAATTAGAACCAATAAAATGCCAGTATTCCATAGTTACGCATTTTATCACAGCGACAATATTTTTTATCAACTTGATTACACGTTGCTAAGGATTTTGATCATCGATGATAATCATACCACTTGTTATATTATGAGTAATAATATTCTTCTTTGAAAACACCAATTTAACACATTATTATGAATAAATAAATAAATTGTAGGTTATGCAGAACTTGTTAATGATAAAATAAGAGGGTAAAATAATTTTGGTTGTCAAACTTATTTTTAAATAAAGTCTAAATTTTGTAAGCGTGTACATGACAGCACTTAAAACGTAACAACCTTTACTTGACAGTTGCCATAGAAAACCTGTTTACTATTTTTTTTCATATTTCTTAGGTTTTGTAATATTTATAAACAATTATTGCAACTTTTACCATTGTATTAAGTCATTGTTAAATCACTGCTTATGCTCTAATTTAATTTATAACGCCTGAATATATCAATAAAATCCACTAGATTTTGTTTGAATGCACATTAATTACCAAAATGACACATGATACAATTCAAATTGTCAATTTGACGTTATTCATTATTGTTAATTGTATCATTTTTGTAATTAAGGTGCATTTAAACAAAATTTAACAGATAACTTTTAAAATGATGTTATTGGTTGGACACAAGTCCCAGGTTACTTGACTTAAGTATGTAATTAAATCTGATGTTAGTGCATAGAAGTTGACTTTAAAAGAAAAAAATATACACATTTTAAAGATAATTACCCAATTACGTTTATTAATTATACGTTTTTAGGAAGTCATACAGTGTTGTAAAATTGGCAAAAACTTAAATCAATGATCAACTTAAATCGTCGGATTAATTTGATCTGAGTTTAATAAACATTTTTGCATACGGCCATTAATGTCAGTAAAAAACTTTTGATTTTTATAAAAGTGGCAAAAATCACATTTCCTAAAGAAGTGAAAATAACAGAATGGCACTAACTGGACGTAATTATCGAAGATATAGACTATAATTTCTAAATTTATCAAAATATCAAATTTTTATTTTTCCCTCCACATGAGTTTTTTAAGGATCAAAGTTAAGCATTTTTTAAAATTATCAATTTTCACATTTTTTTTTTCGTAGGAAATATCATTCTAGAACAATGAAAGTTAAGTCGTGGCATTAGAATGGTTAATACTATATTACTAAAAAAATCAAACCTTAATGTGCAAATGGGTTGACACAGCGTCCAATTAAAAATGGTAAAAATGAGATTTTTCTTTGTAAATTTTAGATGATCACCATTTGGTTTCTAGTTGTTAGTGTTCAATTTTATTTTATAACATGAAATGTACTATTGCGGCCGATAAAAAGTAATCGATTCTTTATCAAGTTGCATGTTTTTCTTAAAAATTGGCTATTGTAAGTAGGGTTTTTTACGTCAGTCATGTAAATTAAATTATTTTGACAAGAAATCATAGGTGTATGACATATTTAATTTTATATTAAAAAAAACTTAAATTATATAAAGCATGTTTGTTCGTAATACAAACAAAAAGAACAAATTATTTATTGGGCGACCAAAATAAATAAATTTAAACTTAAAAATAAATAGTATACTACGACTATAACAATTATAAAAGATGAGCCAACCAGGTTTGGATGGGCTCAGAAAAACCGGCCCTGGCAATTTTTTCATTCAGCCCTCCCTCGGGCATTATCTTACATAATCTTACACATTTGTAATGCTATAAAAACTCCATTAAAAAAAAAATTAATACTTGGTAGAACCACCATTCTTCTCTATAAAATTTTGTAATCTCCTAGGCATGGAACTAAGTAAATTTTGCAAATCGTAATTTTCTTTCAAATTGTTCCACTCATTTTGAATTTCATTAATAAAGCCTTCTCTATTTCTTGGTCTAAATTCATATTTATATATTTTTTAACGAGATATCCCCAAATATTTTCGATTGGGTTTAAATCGGGGCTTCTTGACGGCCAAGGAAGCGTTGTAATGTGATTTTCTTCTAGCCAATTATGAACCACATGAGGAGTGTGAACTGGCGAGTTATCCTTAAAATGAAAAAAATATATTTTTTTTGATCAGGAAAGATAAATCATAAAGTGTTACGTGTTAAAACACAAAATCATTATCAAATCTTTCTTGCACTGACGGGAGCATTACTTAAAATTTCCACGTATCGGTTCCCAGTTAATCGGCCTTCTACAATATGAATTATACCAGCCCCTGAAGATGATATCCAGGCCCACACGTGGTCAGAAAATGTTCCGCTGTTGTCAGTTTTGTGGAGGTATTCTTCATCAAACTTATGGTTTCTGGGACGATAAACTCGCAGTTGCCCATTGTAGCAGGATTGAAATATTTTTTCATCTGAAAAGACTACAGCGCTCCCAATATTCAGCTTTTTGATTTAAAAAATTATTTGCAAACTCCACTCTTGCCTCTTTATTAACATCCGTCAAGCGGTCCTAACTGATGCTGGGAAGTTGGTTTCCTCTTTGGCTTGAATGGAGTTAGAAAATGGGTTTTGCCTCACATATTCAACCAACTCGTTGTCGTTTACTGGAGTTGTCCCCAGTTTCCACCCACTTTTTGTTTAATTTTTGAATAGCGCTTTTGCTGCAGTTTATTTCATCTGCTATTTGTTGTTGAGACCATCCTTCTCCAATTTTGGCAATAATATAGCCTTTCTCTGCTTCACTTAAAGTATGGTAAGGCATTAAATAATGACTTTACTTAATTTAAGATTCAAATTCAAATTCAGTTTATTCACCATGGATTTACTTAATTTAAAATGACGTTACTTAATTTTATAATATTATTTTTGAAATGCCACTGGTGACAACCATATTTACAACGGGAAAATTAGTCGATTACTTTTTATCGGCCGCAATAGTACATTTACTACCCAATCAAATAAAGCATCAATAAATTCAATATCCATAGGTATATATATATAATATATATATATATATATATATATATATATTAGGGTGCTTCATTTTAGAGCGACATTTTTTTTTTCAATGTCCCACCTGAAAATCTTATAACCGGTCAGAAAACAAAAATTTTGAGCTATTACAAAGCTCTTAATCTTTATTTTAAGCCGTTGCTATTCAATTTTTAAATATTTCCCTTTAAAAACCATTAAAAAACAATGTTTTATTCTTTTCTCCCTCCGCTCGCACAGTAAGAATATTTTTTTCGAATTTCGGTTCTAAAATCTTTATACATGATGAAATTATCTTCAAAAATGTCTATTTAAGCAAG